CAGGCATGGAACCCAGGTCTCCTGCATTGCAGACAGATTCTTTACCACCTGAGCCACCAGGGAAGCCCAGGAAATACGTCGACCGGAATCCTCTTAATCAAGACAGGGGCCATTAGAGAGAAAATAACCTACTCGGTTAATTTAGTTTTATTATTGCCATTCTCCTTGGGAATTAAAAATAGGGTACTTCTGGAGAAACTGACAAAGCTGTGATTTATCTTAATAAAAGACTTCTTATGGAGATCTTGAAACCTGTTTCCTGAAAGAAATGAGTTCTAAATATATTTCTTAAGCCTGGTGGCAAAGTTTCTAGTAACAGAATTCATCTCCCATGCAGCTCAATGAATCCCTGTTTTTATTTTTTTCATTTATTTTTATTAGTTGGAGGCTAATGACTTTACAAATTTTTTTGTCATACATTGACATGAATTAGCCATGGATTTACATGTATTCTCTATCCCGATCCCTTTGGCTCTTCCCAGTGCACCAGGTCCGAGCACTTGTCTCCTGCATCCAACCTGGGCTGGTGATCTCTTTCACCGTAGATTATATACATGTTTCGATGCTGTTCTCTTGAAACATCCCTCCCGCGCCTTCTCCCACAGAGTCCAAAAGTCTGTTCTATACATCTGTGTTTCTTTTTCTGTTTTGCATATAGGGTTATGGTTACCATCTTGCTCAATTCCATGTATATGTGTTAGTATCCTGTAATGGTCTTTATCTTTCTGGCTTACTTCAGTCTGTATAACGGGCTCCAGTTTCATCCATCTCTTTAGAACTGATTCAAATGAATTCTTTTTAATGGCTGAGTAAGATTCCATGGTGTATATGTACCACAGCTGCCTTATCCATTCGTCTGCTGACGGGCATCTAGGTTACTTCCATGTCCTGCCTATTATAAACGATGAATGCTGCGATGAACATTGGGGTGCACGTGTCTCTTTCAGATCTGGTTTCCTCGGCGTGTATGCCCAGAAGTGGGATTGCTGGATCATAGGGCAGTTCTGTTTCCAGTTTTTAAAGAAATCTCCACACTGTTTTCCATAGCGGCTGTTCTAGTTTGCATTCCCACCGACAGGGTAAGAGGGTTCCCTTTTCTCCACACCCTCTCCAGCATTTATTGCTTGTAGACTTTTTGGATAGCAGCCATCCTGACTGGCGTGTAGTGGTACCTCATTGTGGTTTTGATTTGCATTTCTCGGATAATGAGTGATGTTGAGCATCTTTTCATGTGTTTTAGTTTTATTAACGTATAAAGGAAATAGAGAAAGCTTCTGACATAGGCATCAGAAGGGGGCACAGAGAGTGTCCCACTGCTAGATCCTTGCTGTATGTTATGTAGTCACCAGCAGTCTGTTAATGAAGGAAAGGAATGTTTTAGAACTCAGAATGGCATCAGGCCCCTCATCCCTAAGATGTCTTTTAGGATAATCTTTCCACCAGAGGAGTCATCCTAGGTCATTAAATGATCGACTTGAATCTTGTAGAAAGGCAGATTACCATACAAATAGTTTTGTTTACATAGATTATGGGAACAGTGTCTGAGTATATCATAATTGTTTGACAAGTAGGTTCTGAGCCATTAGGCAGAACCGACTTGAAGACAGGGTCTGGGGTAAGTGCATAGTACATTAACATAGCTTAAGGCAAACATTTCCATAAGAAAAATGTATTGGTTAACTCAAGGTTTGAGAATAGTTAACTTCAGGTGGAACCAGTTGTCATTATGGCAATACAGTATTTTAAGAGAAACCTAGTTTTAAATTTGTATAGAAAAAGGGGGGAAACTATTCAGTTTGTTTCCTCCTGCCGCTTAAGAGAGAGATAAAAATGTCTAACAGTGTCAGCCTATTTCCTCTGTTTGGAGACTCCTGGCCTTCCTGCATGTTACCCTCTCATCCCCCCTCCCTTTTCTTAGGAGAATCATGTTTCCTAGTGAAAGGGGGCATTGTTTTCATTTTGTAACTGCTTTTGTGTTGACAAGGGGTGTTTTCCCTTAATTGGTGAGGCAACATATTTTCCTATCCCTCATACTGAGGATTTCTGATCTAGGGGCCCCAAGTAGTAGTTGGAAGAAGCTGCAGCAGTAGCAAGAGTTTGAGCAACCATTTGTAACTTAAAAGCTTTTATGTGACTAGAAACAAATCTAGTTACACAGTTACAGATGCAGGGAGCATACAACAAAAACAAAACAATCAGAATTATCGGAACTAAGTTAGTTTTCCACTATGGGGAACTAGTTAACATCTCTCAAAGTGAGGCAATTGAGGCTTCAGGAGTATCTATAGTCCCAATCATTTTGTTCATGTGTTTAGTAAAATGAGTAACATTAGTGTTCATATCAGGTATAGATGTACAGCAGGTATATATGTTCATACAGGTATATGTGGGTATGAATAATGGCACAAGTTTTTCTTTGTGCAGCTGTCAGAATATCTAGAGCCAATCTATTTTATAAAACTACCTTTTTAATTTGTGTTTGTTCAGCATTAAGAGCTGAAATAGTTTTTTGAGAATCTTGTAACATCTGTTGAGTAAAATTAATCAAAGCATCTACTCGTCGCATAACATCTGTAGTTCCCAAAGAGGGAACAAATACTGTAGCCAGATAATCATACCAGTGAAATATAGACCTTGTCCACTGAGTTTTAATGTGGGGTAAATTAGCAGGCTTTTCTGGAAGCTCTGAAAATATAAAGCCGTGACTAAAAGCTAGACCCAGGGTGCATCTCCCTGTCCAACCAGGGGGAGGCCATGTCCGTAGGTAAGAGTCACATATCCAATAGGACCCGTTTGGAGCAAGCCAGCGTGACTGAGATATCCAGTCCCAATTAGTGTCTGGCGAGGCAAAGGGAGGACCTGAACTGAGGTTGGAGAAGATGGGAGTGATTATGTTGTATATTTCCTGAGGCAAAAATCTCAATTGTTTCCAATCATTGTAATTAAGCTATTGGCTATCTTTTGGGGATGGCTCTATTTGTTCTCAGCATATAGGGGCAGTAGATATTAGATGTCTTTTTCCCAGAGTTAAACATACAACCTCATCCTATATTTGATAAACATCAGGTAAAAAAAAAAAAAAACAACTATTAGATCTAGACCTATTTGCCTTATGTGTAGTGAAATAGTCATTAAACCAAGACAATATATAATGAAAATTAAAAGTCACATTATGTCCATAATAAGATACAAAGTTTTGCACCAGTCCATTTTAGGGTTGTTAAATGTCATCAGATGAAGAAGAGGCATCACATATGATTGTTGTTGAAGGTATTCGCAGACGTGGAGAAAGTCTTTTTCTTGAAGTGGAGATGTCCACCATGGGAATCTTTTTACTGATGAAGAGGGGAGAGTTCCTCAGACTGAGCAGTTAGACCGATTGTGGAATGCAGCGTAGGAGTGAGCCCAGGAAAGGAAGGCATTGTCTTGAGGATCAAACTGCAGACTCAGGATTTCTGGAGTCAGCAGAAGTAGGTTCACATAGATTGTCAGGCCCATCTGAAAAGTATAAAGTCAGAGCGTAGAAAGTAAAGAAATAAAATGAAGTCACTTAGTTTTGGTCAGGGTGCCACCTCTTAACTCGAGTGTGATGTACCCATGAATCAATTTTTGGCACTTTGACAGCTGTGGGAGAAGAAAGAATAACCTGGTAAGGGCCTTCCCAGAGGGGCTCAAGGGGTGGGTCCCCAGACCCCAATGTTTTTATCAAGACCTCCGTTCCTGGCTCAAATAGAGTCTTGTTTGTCTCAGAGGCTGGGTCAGGAGTCATCTCCCAGAGTTTTGTTAATGTATGTTGAAAAGCTGAGAGCTGAGTTACATAGTTAATTGTAAGGCTTTAGGGTCTATAACAATGTCTGTGTGTAAGAAAGGCCTTCCATAAATACATTCAAATAGAGACAGTCTCTCTTTTTGGGGGGCAGTCTGAGCCCTCATTAAAGCTATGGGTAGGACTTGAATCCAATTGTCTTGTGTCTCTTCAGTTAACTTGTGCAGATGTCTTTTGATAATGTCATTAGCTTTTTCAACCATTTCTGAGGATTGGGGTCTTTAGGAACAGTGTAACTGATGTTTTATTTCTAGAGCTTTATATACCCCCTGAGTTACTGCAGCTTTAAAGGCAGAGCCATTGTCATTCTGAAGGTTCAGTGGCAGCCCAAACCTGGGGATAATTTATGGATTAAAATCTTTATAACCTCCTTAGCCTGTTCCCTACGACAGTGAAAAGCCTCAATCTATCTAGTAAAAGTATCTACCCAAACATGTAAGCAAGAATATCTATTAGCTTTTGGCATATGAGTAAAAATCAATTTTCCAGTCTCCTCCAGGATACTTTTCACTCCGTTGTAACCCAGATTTTGTTAGCTTTTCAGTCCTGGGTTATTTTCTTGACAAACCTCACAGCTTTTGATAATGATTTGTAAAGTTTTTATTATATTTTTACCTTCAAAGAAACGAGAAGCCATCTGGAAAGTACTCTCTGCACCCAAATGAAAACTCTGGTGTAAACCTTTAAGAATTTTCCACTGGGCATTTTCAGGAATTATTAATCGTCCATCTTCAGACTTTAACCTTCTTTTATCAGTAATCTTTGCTCTTCTTTCTGCATATCTTTTTAAATTTTTCCTCAGTATATTGTGGTTTTTCCTGTTCTATAGGACCTGTCCAGATCAAAGGTGTCTACAGTGAAGGGGTTTCATAAAGTGCTGCTTTTCTGGCTTGACAGTCAGCCAACTGATTACCTTTGGCTACTTTACTCCCACCTCTGTCGTGTCCTTTGCAATACATAACAGCTACTTCTTTAGGACAATGTACAGCAGTTAAAATTCTCTCAATCTCTTTAAAATGTTTAATATGTTTTCCTGTTGCTGTTTTAACCTGCCTTTCTTTCCATATTGTATCATGAGCATGCAAAGTCAAATAAGCATATTTAGAATCAGTGGAGATATTTACCTGCTGTCCTTTGTTTAACTCCAGAGCTCGGGTCAGAGCCACAAGCTCCGCTAACTGAGCACTGGTTCCTTCTGGGAGAGATTTTGTTCAGCAGTCACCACGGCATAACCTGCTTTACACTTTCCATCCCGAACAAAAGAACTGCCATCTGTGAATATTTTTATGACAGGATTGTCTAATGGGGTATCCATTAGATCCCCTCGAGCTGTATAGTTTAAAGTTAGAAATTGGGAACAATCATGATCAAGTGTTTCATTTTCCTTCTCAGGAAGGAAGGTGGCAGGGTTTGAATTTTCACAAACTTTAAGCTTAGTTACTGGTCCTTTTAACAACAATGACTGACATTTAAAAAGCCTGTTGTCTGTCATCTAAATATTAACCTTAGACTTTAAGATTTCACTCCCATCATAAGAAGTCAGTACAGTAAGGTTTTGTCCGTTAATTTTTTTTAAAGCTTTAGGTGCTAATAAATCCACTGCCCCAATTACTCTTAGGCAGTGGGGCCACCCACGTGAAATTACATCTAATTCTCTGCTTAGATAAGCAATAGGTTGCTGGTGAGGCCCTTGGGGTTGTGTCAAAACTCTCAAGGCCATACCTTTTTTTTTCAGTGACAAACAAATTAAATTCTTACCCTGTGGGCAAGCTCAACGCGGGAGCTTGCAGGAGAGCAATCTGAAGAACCTGAAAAGCCTTTTGAGTATCTGGAGACCAAACTAGTTTCTTGGTTTGGGCCTGCTGAGTTTCAGCTATAAGTTTATATAAAGGCCAGGCAAGTTCTCCATAACCCAGAATCCAAATGTGACAGTAGCCTGTGATTTCTAAAAATCCTCTCAGTTGTCCTAAAGTCCTAAAGTCATAGGTAAGGGATGATTTAGTATAGGTTTAATTCTCTCTGGGCCTATGGCCCTAGTCCCTTTTGATATGATTAGGCCCAGATATCTAGCAGATTGCTGAGCCTTTTTTCTTGATGTCTTGTAACCTCAGCCTGTCAGAAATTTTAAGAAGTCTTCTGAGGCTCATGACAAGCTTCCTCAGCCTTAGCACACAGCAAAATATCATCTACATATTGTAGCACCACTGTTTTGGAGCTATTAAAGTTTTCTAGATCCTGTGACAAACTTTGTCCAAATTAGTGAGGACTGTCACGAAATCCCTGGGGCAAAGCTGTCTAGGTTACCTGAGAGGATGGCTGAAGGTCCTTTGAAGGGTCTTCAGAGGCAAATAGAGATTGACTTCTTCCGCCAAAGGCACTGAACAGAAGGCGTCTTTCAAATCAACTAGTGAGAAATACTTGGCTAGTTCGGAATTTCAGACAATAGAGTAAAAGGATTAGGCACCATGGGGTGTAAAGGAACCACAGCCTCATTTATTATTTGTAAATCTAGTCTCCATTGACCATTTGATTTCTTTATACCCAAAATAGGAGTGTTGCATGGACTGTTACAGGGAATTAATAGTCTCTGTTCCTTTAAATTTTTATGATGGGTTTTACCCCTTCTTTAACCTCAGGTTTCAGGGGATGCTGCTGCTTCTGTGGAACTAAGTGCTGGTCTTTGAGCTTGACAACTACAGGAATAGCATTTTGTGCTCGACCCATAGATTTTCCATCAGCCCACACTCTAGGATTTACATGTTGTTCAATTAAAGGGAGAGAAAGGGAGGGCTCCATATTCATGAAAACAGAGGCATGGACCTTGTTCAGTAAACTGAAGCGAAGTCGCTCACTTGTGTCCGACTCTTTGCGACCCCGTGGACTGTAGCCCGCAGGCTTCTCGGTCCGTGGGATTTTCCAGGCATGAATACTGGAGTGGGTTGCTATTTCCTTCTCCAGGGGAATCTTTCCGACCCAGGGATCGAACCCAGGTCTCCTGCATTGTAGTCAGATGCTTTTACTGTCTGAGCTACCAAGGAAGCCTTCCCTCTCCAAAAGGAGTGAGGGAGATTCTAGCACAGTCAGAAACTCATGTGAAACTAGCACAGAATCTCAGTTAAAACTTAAAGAACAAGTGAAATAATACCTTTTGGCTTGTCCAGACAGTCTCATTACGGAAGTGTATTGGGAAGAAAGTGGGCTAGGGGCTTCAGTAAGCACAGAGTAAGTTGCCGCAGTATCTAAAAGGAAATCAATGGATTGGTCCCACACAGTTATTAATATCCGGGATTCCTCAGGTGTAATTAGAATGGGAGCTTGTGTGGGGAGCCCCGGGCACCTTCAGTCCCGACTGTCTTGAGAGTCCGATCCCTGAATCCTACGCCTCTGGGGGCAGTCTCTCCTCCAGTGTGGTCCCTTGCAGACCAGACCTGGAGCCGGGGCAGCTTGGATGCCTGAGGGCAATCCCGCTTGAGGTGCCCCTCCTTTCCACAGTAATAGCAAGCCCATCCCTTTTCACGTGGGGCCCTCTGGGCATTTCTCTCAGGCTGTTTAAGAACGGTCCTCACAGCCATTGTGAGGGCTTCCACCTGTTCCTTTGTCTTTTTTTTCTTCTCCTCATATTTCCTACCATAATATACTGTCTGAGCCAGTTGTAACAGATTAAAGACTGATTTGGTCCATATGCCCATTTTAATAGCTTATGACAGATATCTGGAGCCAACTGAGTGGTCTATCTTTTAAGAGCACTTTTTTCTCTCTTCACTTTTCGGGTCAATCTCAGTGAATCTGCGAAAGGGTTTCTCTCAGTCTATCTAGGAATTTAGCAGGAGATTCCTTCTCCTCCTGTTCTATGTTTGCCTATTTGTCATGGTTGAAAGGCTTAGCATGCACCTGCCTGAGTCCATCAAGAATACATCTGACAGAATGACTCTGATCCCATCTTCCTTTAGCTGTGTTGTAGTCCCAATCTGGTTCTATAGTTGGGACCTCTTAATTTTCAGTGTGGAGTGCAGCTATCTGGTCCCCCCTCTTCCCTACTGATTCATTCCCAAGCCATTTATCTCCATAAGCAACAAGTTTTCCCAAAACTCTACTTTTTGAGTCGGGAGTGAGCATTTATCCCAAGATATACATCACATCCTTCCAAGTAAGGTCATAAAACAGAGTAACACCTTTAAAATCTCTAATATATTTTTCTGGGTCCTCAAAATAGTCTCCTAGATCCTCCTTGGTTCTTTCTGTTTCCTGATAAGAAAAAGGCTTATTAACTCTCATAGAATGATTGTTTCTCCCAGTGGGTATTTCATAAAGAGGCAACAGCTGTGTGTCTCTTCTTCAGTCTGGCTGCTCTGCACCTATGATCCCAGGGAAAGATTGGACAAACCTGCTTTTCTTGATCTCTTTGTCTCCTGTCCTTCTCATCTCTTACTTTGATCATCTGAGTTTCTATTGAAACCAGTGTAGTCTGAGGTCGTACTGAGACACGAGCTGTTTGGACCCCTACTTGAACAGTTTGAATCTCAGTTTGGGTTTTTACTGAGACCAGGGCAATCTTTCTTTTTTTTTTTTCATTTATTTTTATTAGTTGGAGGCTAATTACTTTACATCGTTACAGAAGTTTTTGTCATACATTGAAATGAATTAGCCATGGATTTACATGTATTCCCCATCCCGGTCCCCCCTCCCACCTCCCTCTCCACCCGATCCAGGGCAGTCTTTCTTGGGGGTTCTCTGGCTTTCAGTTTGTTCAGTTGGGAGCCCTGGGCACTGTGGCAAAGTAGGAGGACAGGAGGGAGCTGAAGGTTTCACACCCAAATCTATACCCTTAGGACTTAACTCTGGCATATTTCACAGAGAGAAAAAGGGTAACACATATGTTACTTCTACCCATTTTACTTGTTTTCTACAGAACCGGTCTATTTGTAAAGCAGTATTATACTTAAAAGACCCTCCAACTGGCCACTGTTCGCCGTCCTCCAGTGGGTTCTGCAGACATGCAGTATCACATAGGAAGGCCAGGTGTGTCTTCTTTAAGCCCTGGGGATCAATCTATCCCAGTTTTCCAGGATACAGTTTAAAGGAGTGAGGCTGGAATTGATAACTCCCATCAGTAAAAGAATAAAAAAGCGACCAGCACCATCTTTCTACCGGAGGCATCCGTCCCTGCTCTAGGTGGGGGTGTAGACCGACTTTACATCAAAGCTTTCCTTTTTTGGTCAGACTTAGTCTGTCCTTTACTGACGCAGATGCCGTACTCGTCCCTCCAGGTTCTACCACCGAGACAGGGTGGGGATGCACCAGGGGTAGACCTGATGGCATCCCTGACTGTCGTCCAGCTCCTCACCATTGAGAAAACTTGCTTGCCTCTGATGCCACCGGGGGTGCAATCAGTAACCTTCTGGAATGCCTCACAAGCTAAGACCGCTGGGGGAAACATTCATCACCTGAGTTCCTGTGCACGACCCTGAGTAAATTCCTGACCACAGTGAGACTGGTATGAACATAAAGCTGAGGTGTTCCTTCCAAGCGTCACCACTCCAGTATAAGAGCCTCCTCTGGTCTCCTAAGAGCCAGCGTTACCAAAGGAAAAACAGACAAACAAACAAACAACCCATTGTAGTTCCAAACTGAGTAACCTTTAGCTTCAGAGATTCTCTTGGACCTAGAGTTTCATCTAGCTTCTGAACTCTCGATTTTTAGTGAGGCTAGGCGCTTCCTGACTACCAGTCTAAGATTGGAACCTAAGTAACAGTACACAGTAACAGCATAGGTTTTGAGTCCCTTGGAAGTCTATGATCTGACAGATAGGTTAGTATTTCTCATTTCCAAGGAACTGTGAAATGGTCAAAGAGAATGAAAAGTTTAACCAAGAAAGAGAGTTCGATCCACACACTTTGTCCATTTGTGATTGGTTCCGAAAGGAGACATTGGGTGTCTTCGGCATTGCCAGGTCGGTATAAACCCCCAACAGGGTTTTGCCGTAAGCCGAATGAGGTCACCACAGAACTGCAGAGCAGGGCTCCTCATTTGCTTCACGCAGGGTGTTTCATTCATTTACACAAGCACACCGTAGAGTTAGTAAAGTACAGCAGAAAACATGTCCGCTAGGAGAACTAGAGGTCCAAGCATCTTTACGTTGGCCTGAAGAATCCCAGTAGTTTGGGCTGAGTTGCAAAACTGCTTCAGAATCAGATAGAAAATGCAATTTCAATTATCGGAAATAAATACAATATACCTTGACAATATAATAGGTAAGCTAAACTGTTTACAAAGGGTCATTGTATGTCATACTGCCTTAAAATTTATGATTTTAAGGCACCATCGAGAAT